CATCAGGCTCATGGTATCGAGGAAAGTTTTAAATTGATAAAATCATTGCTCACCGATAGAACGCAGAGGGTCAGCGTAGATGGTGTTAAATCTGAGTGGGGCTGTGTAACCAGTGGGGTTCCCCAGGGGTCAGTACTAGGCCTCTTGTTCATAATCTACATAAACGATCTAGATACTGGGATCAGCAGTGACATAAGCAAGTTTGCGGATGACACCAAAATAGGGCGGTAGATTAATTCAGGGCAGGATGCAAATGCATTACAGGAGGATCTAAATAATCTGCAGGGGTGGTCTGAAAAATGGCAATGAAATTCAACACCAGAAGTGCAGTGTACTTAATATTGGAAGAACAAATACTGATAATGTAAACAACCTTAACAACATCAACCTAGAGAAGTCGACTTGTGAAAGAGACCTAGGGGTACTTGTAAGCCCGGACCTACGGCCTAGAAAACAGTGCGTTAATGTTCGAAATAAAGCAAACAGAGTATTGGGTTTTATATCTAGAAGTCCATTGCTCTATCTTGCGCTAGTCAGGCCGCACCTCGATTATGCGGTTCAGTTCTGGTGCCCCTATTATAGAATGGATATAAATTCACTAGAGTCGGTGCAGCGAAGAATGACAAAAATGATTCCGGGACTTAGAAACCTTCCATATCAGGATAGGCTAAAGAAACTTAACTTGCATTCCCTAGAAAGACGAAGAGTGCGGGGAGATATGATAGAAGTATTTAAGTGGGTGAAAGGAATCAATAAAGGGGATATAGATAAAGTTCTTATAATATCCGAGCAGGATAGGACTAGGAGCAACGGATTCAAGTTGGATAAGTTTAGGTTTAGGAGGGAGATAGGAAGGAACTGGTTCACAAATAGGGTGGTGGACGAGTGGAACAAGCTTAGCAACTTTGTAGTAAGTGCGGGAACTCTGGAAAGTTTCAAAAGGAGGCTGGATAGATTCATGGATGATATAGAGTGGTAGTAACTCTCGACAGGAGCTGCCATGCACAGGCCAACCGGCCTATTGCAGACTCCTTATGTTCTTATGTTCTTATAAACAGTCACTCACCTCAGCCTTCTGCCTGGGTGACATTCTACAGCAGACTACAGCGGTACACCTCCGACAAACACTGTAGAATTCCTCCTTCAGGTTCTCCAGAAGAATGTGTAGCGAGGTGCCGTCAACGACCAGACCGTACTGTGAGTCTCCCTCTGTCTCCTGCCTGGTGGTGAGAGACGGTGGTGAGGAGGGAGTGAAGGAGGGAAGGCGGGAGTGAAGGAAGGGGAGGCGGGAGTGAAGGAAGGGGAGGCGGGAGTGAAGGAAGGGGAGGCGGGAGTGAAGGAAGGGGAGGCGGGAGTGAAGGAAGGGGAGGCGGGAGTGAAGGAAGGGGAGGCGGGAACAAATTTTACTCTTAGAAAAAAGTGGAGAAAAGTTTTAATTAAAAACAAGACAATAAACAAGAACTTCGTCTGTTATAATACCAGAGATGACAGGGATTTACATAAGCAGAAACTAAGAGATAAATAAACACGATGCATAGAGAGAAAACAATTAAATAGTATGATAAAATGTCTGTAATAAAGAATAATGAAAAGATAATGACAAAGAAGTAAAAATAAAGAAATAAAATCGAAATTAGAAGTTGGTAAAATACTGTATTTGACGAGCGTCCGTAACCCCTACAACTGATGACGTCACGGCTACCTCCACCATTAACGGCTGAATAATGTCACAAACAACACGTCACAAACAACACGTCACAAACAACACGTCACAAACAACACGTCACAAACAACACGTCACAAACAACACGTCACAAACAACACGTCACAAACAACACGTCACAAACAACACGTCACAAACAATACGTCACAAACAACACGTCACAAACAAACACTAAAAAATCCCCCAAAATGATTCTTGAAGGTCAGCAAACACATACATTATCCAAGTAAAGAGAGAGAGAGAGAGACTTACCAGCACATCTGCAGTACAGACTCCGCCTGGTGGAGGTCATGCAGGCTGGTGAGAGACAAGACGGTCATAAACCGCTTGAAGTGACCGCAGGAGTAAGCGATGTTGACCGCAGTCTCCACCTTGTCTCCAGTGAGCACCCATACCTGGGGGGACATAAAGTGCTATACCACACCTGGGGGACACACGGGGCTATACCGCACCTGGGGACACGGGGCTATACCACACCTGGGGGACACACAGGGGTTATACCACACCTGGGGGACACACGGGGCTATACCACACCTGGGGACACACAGGGTTATACCACACCTGGGGGACACACGGGGCTATACCACACCTGGGGGACACACAGGGTTATACCACACCTGGGGGACACCTTCCACACCTGGGGACACAGGGCTATACACACGGACACACACCTACAGGGCACACCTGGGGGACACAGGGCTATACCACACCTGGGGACACACACAGGGCTATACCACACCTGGGGACACACAGGGCTACACACCTGGGGGACACACAGGGGCTATACCACACCTGGGGGACACACAGGGCTATACCACACCTGGGGACACACAGGGCTATACCACACCTGGGGGGACACACAGGGCTATACACACCTGGGGACACACAGGCTATACCACACCTGGGGACACACAGGGCTATACACACCTGGGGACACACAGGGCTATACCACACCTGGGGGACACACAGGCTATACCACACCTGGGGGACACACAGGGCTATACCACACCTGGGGGACACACAGGCTATACCACACCTGGGGGGACACACAGGACTATACCACACTTGGGGACACACAGGGCTATACCACACCTGGGGGACACACAGGACTATACACACACACCTGGGGACACACAGGGCTATACCACACCTGGGGGACACACAGGACTATACCACACCTGGGGACACACAGGGCTATACCACACCTGGGGACACAGGACTATACCACACCTGGGGACACACAGGCTATACCACACTTGGGGACACACAGGGCTATACCACACCTGGGGGGACACACAGGCTATACCACACCTGGGGACACACAGGACACACACCTGGGACACTATACCACACCTGGGGGACACACAGGGCTATACCACACCTGGGGGGACACACAGGGCTATACCACACCTGGGGGACACACAGGGCTATACCACACCTGGGGGACACAGGGCTACCACACCTGGGGGACACACAGACCACACCTGGGGGACACACAGGACTATACCACACCTGGGGACACAGGGCTATACCACACCTGGGGACACACAGGACTATACCACACCTGGGGACACACGGGCTATACCACACCTGGGGGACACACAGGCTATACCACACCTGGGGGACACACAGGGCTATACACCTGGGGACACACAGGGCTATACCCACACCTGGGGGACACACAGGGCTATACCACACCTGGGGCACTGGGGCTATACCACACCTGGGGGACACACGGGCTATACCACACCTGGGGGACACACGGGCTATACCACACCTGGGGACACAGGACTATACACACCTGGGGGACTATACCACACCTGGGGGACACACAGGGCTATACCACACCTGGGGACACACAGGGCTATACACACCTGGGGGACACAGGGCTATACCACACCTGGGGACACACAGGGCACACACCTGGGGGGGACTATACCACACCTGGGGGACACACAGGGCTATACCACACCTGGGGGACACACAGGGCTATACCACACCTGGGGGACACACCGGGCTATACCACACCTGGGGGACACACAGGGTTATACCACACCTGGGGGACACACAGGGCTATACCACACCTGGTTGAATTGCTCTCTACAAGGAAAAAATGCTTCCATCATCGATGTCCAAGATGAATACCTTCCGTCAACAAATGGAACTTTGGCCCAGGCGAGTCCACGTCAACAACGTCGCTATGTTTACCAGGCTAGACCAATTTTTTTCAAAGTAGCGAGGTTCAGTGCCCGGCGATCGAAATTGGCGAACATCTGCTCACACTCAAGACGTCAATGACAAAATATTTTCCTGAAAGTAAAGCTCTGGAGCAACCATTTCTTGTCGTCGAAGATGTCATTTCTGACAACGACTCTGCAAAAGACGAATTCCTGAAGTTGAGAAATGATTCCGTGACCCGTAGCACATTCAACACTGTCGAGGATATTGCATCTTTCTGGCTTGAGCAAGGAGCAGTGGGATACCCAACTCTACTGTAATGACTCGGGCTATCGACATACTTCTTCCATTTCCCACGACCTATATGTGTGAACTTGGGTTCTCTGCAATGTACCACATCAAGTCCAAGACTAGAAACCGGCTCGTTCCAAGCTCAGATATGAGGCTGGCTCTGTCAAAGACTAAACCAGGCATCCAAAATCTGGTGTCGACAAAACAAGTTCATCCATCTCACTTGGACTAAGTCTATAACAGCACTGTAACTGTAGCACTATTATTGAGTTTTGTATAAGACAGACTAGAATTGTACACTTGTGTTTTGTATACTAAACTTTATTGAATAGATTTAAGGAGTACAATTTTTAAGTACATTAATTTTGTAAACTTGTGCTTTGTATAAGAAACTTTATTGAATAAAAAGTAAGGAGTAAAATTTTACGTTGGAGTAATTCGAACCTGTCAGACTTTAAATAGGAGTAAAACTGGAAAAAGTTTAAGAACCACTGATCTAGACCATCACGTGGCACCACTGACATGATCTTTGCTTCATGTCAGATACAGAAAAAATGCAGAGAACAGCGTCATGACCTGTACATGGCCTTCATCGACCTAACCAAGGCCTTCGACTCGGTCAACAGGGAAGCCCTCTGGTGGACCCTCAGCCGTTTTGGTTGCCCACCAAAATTTATCGCCATTGTGAGTCAACTCCACGATGGCATGAACGGCAGTGTCCTGCACAACGGCATCCAGTCTGAGTTCTTCCCCATCCAAACGGGGGTTAAACAAGGGTGTGTACTGGCACCAACTCCCTCTTCCAATTTAGCCGGCTGGGTGGACGTCCAGTACCGAATGAAGGGTCTGTGGGGTTTCGTGATGCGTCTCGCACTCAGGATGGGTTGGAGAAAGGAAACTCTTTACGGTGGTTTTCTGTATATAAATATATTGAATGTACAGTGCAGTTTGGTGCTGGGAAGTTGCTGCGTAGTTAGGAGCTTGCGGAGAGGAGGTGTTGGATGAGGAGCTTGGAGTAGAGAGAGGTGTTGCGGGGCTGTAGGTAGAAGGCGGGAGTTCACGGGGAGGTTGAGAGCTTATATAGCGGAGGTAGGAGTGGCTTGATAGCCGACTCCACTCTGTCAGACCACGAGGCTTTGGCTGGGGAACTCGACAAGGGATCGGCTGGTCAGCGACAAACGGTAGTTGAGAGTATCCACTACAGGTCTTTTCAACATAAGACGACCCTGGCCAGATGCGTATGCACAACAACAACTTGATTTTCTGAACCCTGCCTGTTCATCTCTTTGCCTTTGGTCTAAGGATTCTTGATTCCTGTTCAATATGACCAGACAGAAAACCTTCGATGCTTTTCCTGTTAATGTTATCCCTCACCACTCTCGTAAATCACCTTTCTTGGGCAGGTTTATAAGGATTCCTTGTTTTCATTCATCCGGGACAACCTCAGTGCTCCAGATTTCTTGAAATAGCTTTAACAGTACTTGAGGTGCACCATTCGCGTCGGCTTTCAGCATTTCTTCAGGTATTTCATCTAAACCTGGTGCCTTCTAGTTCAACTGTTTTAGTGCCCTTTTTATTCCCCTCACCGTAAAGACACCCATATTGACATCCAACTGTTCTTCAGGCTGATGTGTAGTAAGAGTATTAGCGCTATGGAAGACTTTATTCATTACTATCCGGAAATGCTGCCCATCGTTCCTTTATACGTTCTTCTCCGGTTATCAACCCTCCGTTCATAGCACGTACTGATAGCCTTTTTCTTTTCCTGCCTATACCTGGGATGTCTTTAATTATATCGTATGCTTTACTTACTCCATGTCCATTACCGGAATTAAGTGCCGTCTGCTTCTTCTGCCATATTTTCCAGAAAAAGCCGCTTATCACGTCTTGCACAGCGTTTAACTTCGCTATTAAGACTCCAGTATTTGGCTGTTTCTATTTCAAGAGTGAAGGTTACTAGTGTCCCCTGAAGAATGCAGTGATGGCTAGGGAAACACTGTGTAACACTGAGTCCGTTTATTGTGGATGAGAGAAATACAAGTGGTGACCAGCGTGTGCCAAGCACAGCTCACACAGTCAGACTGGGGCTGCCTTGCCATATGGCAGCCTCGGGGCAATGTTGCCACATAACACGTGCAGTGTTGCCACGTGATTATATATATAAATGCTACTCGGCACAGTAGCTTATGTACAGGGTTGCTACTCGGCACAGTAGCTTAGATACATAACCTACAAAGAGCATCTTCATCAAGTATCAATATATACTTTCTGTGTATCTCTCTTTTGCATAATGCTGCAGGTCTCTTCCCTGATACAACTGTTTAGTGTCTGCCCACCTATTATCCACATTCCTTATGTTTTCACCTTCAGACACTCCTGATTCCTCTTCATTCAATGTCTCCAATACAATGAAGCGGTTGTGGCCTTCAAGTTGAAACTCTTCTTTAATCTGGGGGTCTAGCAGTTTCTTGTTATCATAGCGAGTCAGTTCCTCGCTTCTCTCTCGCTTCTCATTTCAACTGTACGGTTGCCACATCTACTTGGTGGTCACTTCCGACATCCGCACCTCTATACTGTACGTCCGCACATCTCGTAGTGAGTTGCACCTCTGCTTACCAATCATAACATGGTCAATCTGATTGCGATAGTTCCCATCTAGAGATGTCCACGTATACTTATGAATACTTTCATGCTTAAACATCGTCCCGCCAATAACGAGATTATTAGTCGAGCGCAAAATGATCGAACCCATACCATTCTCGTTAGCCTCGCTCAATCCGTATTTTTTCACATGTTCCATGCCACGGTTGTCGCTTCCCACCTTCACATTAAAGTCGCCTAGAAATATCATTATATCTCTGTCCAGAATACTACTCAAAACATCCTGTAGCTGCTCTAGAAAGCATCTTTCGCTTCATCTGGTGCGGTATTTGTAGGCGCGTAACACACTGCAATGCTCATATTAACTCGCTTAGACTTCAGCTGTAGGGAATTGAAATTATCAACAAAGTTCTTATATGGCAGCGAGACATGGGTCACATACAGAAGGCATCTCAAGGCACTTAAAACTTGCACCAACGTAGTCTACGTTCCATCCTCCGAGTTCGCTGGGAAGACAAGAGAACAAATGCCAGTATTCTTGCTGACACCAACTGTAGGAGCATCGAGCTGCCATTATCCATGAACAACTACGTTGGACTGGCCATGTTACCCACATGGACGACAGTAGACTACCAAAGCAGCTACTTTACAGTGACCTACCGAATAGTAAACGTAACGCTGGCGGTCAATTGAAAAGGTATAAGGTTAGTCTTAAGACAAACCTGAAAAAGAGCCAAATCGACCCCCTCACCTGGGAGATGATTACTCCACACTGTAACGCTTGGAGGAGCACCACACGAGAAGTTGTCAATACTTTCAAGTTAACCCGACTGCGTACCGAGGCAGACAAGCGCCAACGCGGGAAAAACGCAGCCACCGCCCATACCGCACTAGATGTAGCCCTCCACATGTTTAAACGTCTGTGGACGACTCTGCCGGTCCCGTATCGGCCTCTTTAGCCACCTCAGAGCTCACCAACGTAGGTGACATCCTTAATAACTCATATCATTATATCATAGCTGGATGATCGTCATACTCGATTCTGAGTAGTAGTAGTAGGGGGGTGTGTGTGTGTGTGTGTGTGTGTGTGTGTGTGAGGCTGACTGAGACTCTCCTCTCCATGCCCCGAGAGACTCGCCTCCATGCACCGGGAGACTCACCACTATACCCTGAGAGACTCACCACTATGCCCTGAGAGACTCACCTTGATACCCGCTGCCCTGAGAGCCTCCAGAGTCTCCTGGACGCCCTCCTGCAGAAGGTCCTCCACCCCGGTAGCTCCCAGCAGTCTCAGCTCAGCTTCCATCCTCTCCGTCACTTCCCTCACCGCTGCCTCTCGCCCCTCCACCATCTGCAGTCATCACAAGGTCATCAGTGGTCATCAAGATCCATAATAACACCCCGGTCAACAAGTCATCGTATTCGCTCTCATGAAGGTCAAGAATATCAGTCCTTGGTCAGCCTACATCACCATTAAGCGAGTCACTCCTCACGTCACTATGTTTACATACAAAGAAGAAAACGGTAATAGCGGTAACTATAATATCTTAACTCACTCAGTTCACAACACCGTCATTCTTTTGTTGTTTTTAGGTCGGATTACTGATACTCCATTAAATAATCAAATAATAGAATAGAATTATAGAATTATTTAGGAGTAAGGTTGATTTTCTATGTTTACCATATTATAAAACAACTTTACGCATACGGTGATATAGTCTATGCTGTATACCTGTATTGTTTAGAATAACTTTACTGAATTTACGCAACACACGTCAAGCAAAATGACGTAAATGGTTGAAGTTTACCGTATATGCTGCACGATACTAAACTATAGTGACGGGTAGTGGTATATTGCATGAACAGACAGACAGACAAAGAGGCAGACTGGTAGTGGCAAAAAGCAGACAGACAGACAGACAGACAGACAGATCTTACTCGCATTAGAACACAAATTTGTAGGTGTAAACACAGACCTGCTTGGCCTGGGAGAGCTGCATGGCGAACTCCTGATAGTCTTCCTTCGTTAGTTCCCTACGAGCCACTGCTAGCGTCCGGAGACCCATCTAGTGGCGGGGGTGAAGTAAACAATGTCAGCGAATTGATAGGTAGATAGGGTTGAGGTAGATAGAGTAGAGGTAGAGATAGATATATAGATAGAGTACACACACACACACGTACATATAGAGATAGAGATTAAGAGAGCTAAAGCAGAGACATGCAGAAGAGAGAAAGAGAGAGGTGTGTAAAATTGGGTACAGTTAACGTAAAGTCGCAAAAGTCTCCGTCGTACACGTTCGGCGGTTCCGGGGGTGGGGGGTACGAAAAAATAAGAGTAAAAAGACATTAAAAATATAAAAGAGAAAGGTTATATTAATGTACACTCGCAACAAAAAGTATCGGTGCATACTGTAGTGTGAACAATTTGAGACCAGTGACGATAGGTATTGGGAAAGGCGAGTTGTTCCAGCCGTATGTTGGCAGCCCTGGTCAAGTGAAACAAACAGTTATAAATAAGGTCGGGAAGTGATAAATAGACAGTATGAAATATGAGGAGCTCCCTGTTAACAAAATTATTTGTGATACTTGTGAATATTGCCACATTAATTTATGCTACCAAATAAACCACTCAACCTGGTCGTCCTGAGGGGTGGTGCAGCGTGGACGGCCGCTCCGAGACCTGTCGTCTGTAGCACCAGTTTCGAGGTATCGCCGAATCCATCGTTCAGCGGTGTTCCTGTGGACACCAACCCGCCGGCTAATATCTGTGACGCCGAACCCTTCGTTATGAAGGGCAATAATAGCTCCTCGTGTTCCCTCTAAGGTTTCCATGTCGTCTGACATGTGTAGATCTCTACTGCTTCATATTGCCTCTGTTTTATACCCACGTTCACCGAGACCGAACCCTCGCTCATCATTCAGTCGACACAAAGCAACAATCCGAAAAGAGGAAACAAACACACTGATTGTCAGCCATATGGCAACACTTACCAACCTTCCCGACATATCACAGTATATACGTATCGTTTCGGAAGTCGTCGATCTCACCCTGCACCGATACTTTTTGGTGCAAGTGTACACAACGAAGATGCCGGAAAACCAATTTTTGAAGTGAGACAGATTGTAAAAGTATGGAAACACAGAAGAAGGCAGAGCATTCCACAGTTTGGCTGTGTGAGGAAAGGATGTACTACAACGGGTTATTATAGTGTGACCAACATTCACAGAGAAACGGTGGGCACTGCGGGCAAGACGCGTGTTACGAGCCCACGGCTTTGCCGGCGGTACACAGTTTGCCAACTCCACTAGGGGGCAGGGAAAAAACACTTTTATTTGAGTTGCAGGCTGCACTTTTCAGGCATCGTTTGTATGGCTGTAACAAACACCTGTGCAAAATTTCATGCCATTTCATGCATACTTACCCTGCCGCATCGCGAACGACTTTTTGTCAACTTTTAGTGTATACCAAAAATTAGGTGTCATTTAATGTTTTCCAGGATAATGATAAATTTTACATGGGTGACATCGATTTAATTCACTTGTTATTTTACAGGTACACCATATAGAAAATCATTACAAGTTCATATTGAAATTCTTTTTTGTGCAGAACCTTGGCATCATTTTCCTAGACAATAATCTTTGCCTAATATATCCATCTCTCGATTCGTATCCCGTCACTTCAGTGCAAGCTTCAGTCATCACTTTTATGCCTCTCTCGACCGCCTGAGTGCTGTTTGGCCACTTGGGCACCACTAATGGTGTCTCAAGAATGTCATTAACCTGTAGATTTGACAGAGAAGCAATGTAAGGAGGCTCAGTCTTGAGTTCATTCCTCCAGTTAATCATGGAATGATAGTTTTTTGCTTGCCACTTTAGTTTCGGAGTCACCACCTTTCTCATGTTGACTACAGGAGGCACATCCTCATTCCCATCTCCATCTTTACCCTCCTCATCAGTATAGTTTAACAAATTCTCGTCAACAGCAGCATCAGAATCTTCCTCCTCCTCTTCAGATCTGCCAGTGCATTCTTCCTTTTGCTGATTCTCCTCTCTAATTTTTCTTATCATTGAGACAGCTTTTTCTCTAACAGTCATGTCCTCATCTGCACACATACCAAGAAGAAGTTGATCTGTGTGGGCGAAGTATGCATTTCTCTGGACAGCCTTCTTCACTATCGTCTCCTCCTCACTATTCAGGTGTTTCATATATAGCAGGGACTGGAATACGTTCCTTGAGCCGTGTGTTACGTAAGGGTGTATCTTGATGTAAAACCACATTGGAGCACTGAACTTTATTATTGTAATGACAATTCTTTTCAACTCATGGCTGGGTCTTGATGTTGCTACATACAGCCTGAGGATTCTACTCCATAAGGTGTTCCACCTTGACACACAGGGAGGACCTGGCTCAATAGCAGCCAAGTCATCTTCAACAACACCTGTGATAACTCCTTTACAAATCCTATACAGGTATTTCTGATCCCAGGACAGATCTTTCTCCACTTCATCATTAAACACAGGGAAATCAGGGAAACTGACTGGCTGGAAGGCGACAACTGGAAGCTCAGACAAAGACTCCTTGATCTGCTTTCCAATGGGACCACGCCAATGCTCAGGACCACTTGGTTTACCATCATAGTGATAAAAAACTGCGCGGAAAGGCAGCTCATTTCCGTGAAGCTGACATATGAAATAATGGAGCGGGTGACCAAGTAACATTTCAAGATGATGAATGACTCCATTTTCTGATCCTACATTTACATTGGTTCCATCACAACCAACACACACAATGGGCTGCTGGGTTAGATTTTTCTCCACCAGAAACTCGTGAATAGTTTTGGCAATCTGCTTTCCGTGTCCAGTCTTGGGAGTCACATGTGTGAGATATTCATTGCCAGGCTCAACCATGATGACATAATGATCTTTCACCATCATCCTCGAACTCCATTTCTCGGTCTTCTCATTCTTTATCATCACACGAGTGGCGGTCTTCTTACCATCAAAATAGAGTGACGTCAAATTATCTAAACTAGCCATCTCAATTTCTTGCCTCTTAAATCGGTATTTTTGTCTCGCATCCTGCAGCTTATGTGGTCCAATAACCTGACTCTTGTCATCCTTTGTGATAATGCCATAGTCAGTTAAGGTGGCAGTAGCAATGGCAGCTCCAGCATAATCACTAATCAAGTATCGGTCACAAGCGGCAGCCAGTGTAGGGAGTCTTGTCCGGTTCTGTGAACTGGTGTCTGTCAGAGCCCTTGGATCAGAAAAGGCTGATAATCAATATAGACATAGCACCATACTCATCTGCAACAAGACAACTTAAATGAAATAAGAGATATGAAAAAAAGTTGATAAACACTGAACAGAACATTGCACCGCCACAGCGGCTGTTTGGCTAGTACTGTAGGTAAATTTAAAAAATTCAGTAGAAAATGCGGCAGACTAAACCTCGACATATCAGCTTCAAATTTGGCATGGAGTCTTAGATATGTATAAGGAACAATGCCTGAAGAGTGCAGCTTTGAGCAAAATTTCACTGCCCCCTAAACTCCACCTACCATTGCCCGTTAAAGTACCTGTAAAAGAGAGAAAGTGAAGCAACATTGCGGCGAAGAGAAAGGGAAGAGAGATTAGCAACTAGAGGAGGAGAGTTAATATGACGAAATGCCATTGATTCCACCCTATCTAATAGTTGGACAGAAGAAGAGCCTCTCCAAATATGAGAGCAGTACTCCAAGTTAGGACGAATGAATTCCATATATACTTGAAGCAACTGCTCAGGAGTGAAGTAGCTACGGCATCTGTACAACATTTCCCAGTTCTCGGGAGGCAGCTTTCGCAATGTTGAGGATGTGTGGCTTCCACGACATATTAGAGGAAATGGTGAGACCTAGCATATCTATTTTAAAATTTGGCAGAATGATTGCATTCTGAAATGTGATTGGTGGGAAATCTTACAATTTTGGAAAGTGTAATTGGTAAATACACCTGTACTGTGTTTTAATACGGCGGAATTTATCAAAGTTTCTACCTCCCCATTCGGAGATGCTGCACAGATCTGCATTGACAGATGTAATGATATCAGCTCCAGAAACAGATATCGTTTGAGAATTAGGAGGAAGGGGAAAATGTGGAGAAGAGTGAAGAGTAGAATCATCAGCGTAAGAATGGATAGTTGTAGGCGTAGTGAGAAGTAAATCATTGATAAAAAGAAGAAAGAGAGTTGGTGAAATAACAGAACTCAAATAAATAAGATTAATAAATATTGAAGTGATGACCGTGGTAACATTATGAGATGTTCTTATTACCACCATGCTATTGTACTATTCCAGATGTTACTAAATGTTACATAATACTTCCTTGAGATAAATGTATAGTATATATGAGGTGCCTTAAAGAGAGCTCAGATTCTCAACTGGCTCAGCCATGTTAATATTGTTATTATTATCCACTCTGCATCTTTGTTTTCTGGCTAAATAAACTGTTTCAATTCAAATCTTTATTGCGCCGTGGTGACTCCATGGTCGGCGGCTCAGGCAGGTAGAAGGGCGTCATCCCCTGGTCTGGTCTCCATCACCTGTATATATGTTTGATGCCATGGAGTGCAGGAGCTGAGTGCATATAGCACTCGCTTCCTGTCCTTCGGGTCACTGTCTCAAACCCGAGGCACCTTCAGTCCACCCAGCCGGAAATGGGTACCTACCCTTACATATTGGGGAATTGCCGCCCACCTACCTTCATGCTTACCGAAGGCTTAATGAACAGCGTGTTCTCTCTCTCTCTCTCTCTCTCCTACTCACCAGGGCGTAGTCGTCAATGTGAGCGAGGGTTGTGTCGTGGAGAGGCTGTAGGTGGGCAGCGTCAGAACACCTTCTTAACACGCTGCTCTCCGCTCCCTTCGTCAGCAGCCAGATCCTCCCCGACGCCTCCTCCCTCACCACCACTGACATGCACTTACGGTCTGGGGTAAAGGGTCAGAGGTCATGTTAGGTCACTTCAGGTCTCGGGCTTAGGGTCAGAGGTCATGTTAGGTGATTTCAGGGTCTGGGGGCACAGGGTGAGAAGGAGGTCATGTTAGGTCACTTCAGGGTCTGGGGGCACAGGGTGAGAAGGAGGTCATGTTAGGTCACTTCAGGTCTGGGGGCACCGGAACCTGGTTCATGGTGGGATACCTTCAGTTTCGGGATAGAGCGAGAGGTGAGGTTGTGTCATCTGATTTTTGGGCAGTTGAAGTTGGTCATTTTAAGGCAAGAGTCACCGTAACTTGGGTCATGTTGGTTGGTAAATTGAGAAACCGCTTCGTTGTTTCACTGACCTGAGTCGAACTCCAGGACCTGAAGGCGTTTGAACAACTTGGTGTGCCCCCTCACGCTAAGGCGCAGCTCGTCCTTGACTTGACCCTCAAACACCACGCCATACCTGAAGTCGGGGTGGATCATAAACCGGAGTACCAACGAGTAGTGTGACCACCCAGCACTGTAACCTATACGGTGACCGGATAAAACCCCAACGGACAAAACCCCAGTCACGTATATAAAGTAAAACACTTTTATGTTTAGGTTAGGTTAGTGATGACAAATGACAACCTCGTTGGGGTTTTGTCATGGATCCAACCTATACACCCATCCCACCCCTTCCCCCCTCCCCTCCCCTCCCCTAAACACATGCGACCACCATAAGACACTACCTCGCACAAGCCTCCACCAGGGCCTTCTCGTCGGGACTGGCAGCCTGGTACTGTAAACGGAAGTCGGACAACTGTATACCCTGCGGGGTAGTGATGGCCTCCGTGGTGGACCTGGAGGTGGGGGTCACCTGTACCGTGTGACACAGAGCCAACGTCTCCAGGAAGGTGTCAAGGTTGTCCTGGAAGCGATGACAAAATACTTTAATAATTTTAGACCAATAAGACGTTATGATAACTGTACACAGACACAACTTATGATATTAACTTTGAAACATAGGCACGGTACACAGGCACATCGTTATGTTTGGAGAGCGAGTCACTACGAGTCAGTGGAAAATGCCGGCATGAAAGGAAGGGGTAGTAGAGATCGCGTCGTTAGGGGATACAGAACAAAGAAAAAAACTCCATTCTAACATCGCTCTCACATCATTCGCCAGATCTCAGTCCTCCAACATATGTTACACTATAAGAACATTGATCTTTAATATTCGTTAAAAAAGAATTCTTCCCATATACAAACAATTCACACAAACAAACACACAAAAAACTCGCACATCTAAAGACACATCACAACGAGAGACACTTAACTAACAAACACAGGTTAATATCTTTAAGAGAAGCAGGGAGGTACAGTACTCACGGGCCAGTGGTCTATAGGGAAGGTCTTGCTAGTGTCGCGGTGGCTGGTGTAGTGTAACTGCTCCTCTACATCGACGTACTTCAGCCCCTCTACCGAGCAGTGCCGGAAATTCATGCAGTTTTCTGTGAGGGTCCCAGTCTTGTCCGTGAACAAGTACTGTACCTGTGACCAGGGAGTTAAGGTCAACGACTAATGCGGTTTGGGAAGGTTTCAGTTTATTCACAACATTCCTCACCTGGCCACAACATTCCTCACCTAGCCACAACATTCCTCACCTGGCAACAACATTCCTCACCTGGCCAAGCTCCTCGTTCAGATCCGAGGTGTTACACTTGCACCTCTCGCCAGTCTTGCCACATATCAGTTGGTCATCCCACTCTATGAACATGGCGCCAATAAACTTCTGCATCTCTGGAAGTATTGATAACTTTTTTTCTATTTTTTTTTTGTAGGTACTGGGTAGAGTTTTTATTATTACTATTACTATTACTATTACTATTATTATTTAGTAGAAGAATCATTATTATCTTCAATATTGTTCTTTTCGTCACTATCACTCAACACTATCGCTACAATCGTTTATACACTGTACTTCATTGTTACTTAACTCTGTATCGTGTAAATCATCACATCTCTGTCAGGAGGAAGATAATAGTAGCCACTCAAAAAACTATCTACTAAATTGTGTTGAGACAATCACGACACAACGGACCAAGGGTTCTGACAACACACCGAGACAACAGGAGTCACAGTGTTCACTCTGGAATTCATAGATCACCCCGAGTCGAGATAGCTTTTTAAGTGACTAATTGGAGAGGTTTTACTGTATTTCAAAACACACACACACACACACACACACACACACACACACACACACACACTACTTTGCTGTCCTCCAGATCAGTGACGATCATCCAGCTATGATACAATGATATGAGGTATTAGGGAGATTAGTGAGTTTCGAGGTGACTAAAGAGGCCGATACGGGACCCGCAGAGTCGTTCACAGAAGTTGCACATGTGGAGGGCTCTACAGGGAGGGCGGTGGCAGCGTCTTCCCGGCGTTGGTGCTTGTCTGCCTCGGTTTGCAGTCGAGAACTCCAAAATATTGACACCTTCTCGTGTGGTGGTGCTCCTCCAACCGTTACGATGTGGAATAATCGTCTGCCAGGTGAGGGGGTCGATTTGGCACTTCTCAGGTTTGTCTTAAGATATCTTTTATCGCCGCTGGCTTATAAATGCTGGTGTCAGTTGCTGACGATCTCTGCCTTCCCAAACAAAAACATTGGATCTCTCAGCCACCCCCCTCCTTGCGGCCTGCCTCGTGAGATGTGGCGGCTAGGGGGCTGAATAAAGTTCCTGATTCTGAATGTAAGGTTTAAAGGGGGACTCGGCTCTCATCACAGATCGCACTATCGAGTGATGCCGCCACGCCACCCCCCCCGACCTATGACCTCGCCAGATGCGGCGGGGGGGCAGCCTTATCGCCGGCGTCAGTGCTGGCACCCAGGAAGTGTTATCACCGCTGGCGTCAGTACTGGCGAGTGAGTATTGATGTGCGAGTGCTGGCGTTTACTGCCTTACCGACAAAGATCAGGGGGTGGGCGGTGTTTACGGACAAGAGGTCCTGATTCTGCTAAATGAATGGCTTAAAGGGTGGCGTGGCCGCCTGGACTGGAGGAGATCACTCCCTCGAGTGATGCTGTAAGGAACAGCCTTCTGCTCGCACTGATAAACACCACACAATCCTGCCCAAGAATTTCTGCCGAGACAATTTCCGCCGGTACTGTTGTCTCTTGGAACACCATACTGATCTGCATTGACCCGCACTTGTAAGTACAAACAGTGAAGCCCATGTTCGAGCTGCTCTTTGAAAGCATGTGCTACGGCTGGATCCTCCAGACACTTAATACTAAAACCTCTTCTAGAGGCTTGCTGCTTTCGCCGTTGTGGGGTACATGAAGTGAGAGCTTAGATCTAACAAATCGATGATCAGTGTCAGAGTGGTTCGAGCCACGCATGGCACGGGTGATGAGGACATCTCGGCGATCTCTTTCTCTGACATTGATGTAGTCAATGAGATGCCAGTGTTTGGATCGTGGGTGTTGCCACGATCCCTTGAACTTGTCGGCCTGCCTAAACAAGGTATTGGTGATAGTGAGGTTGTGTGCAGCACTTGCTGAGGAGGAGTAGGCTGTTGGGATTACACTTGCCTAGTCTATTTCTCCCTATGGTTCCTTGTCAAATGTTAGCATCTCTGCCAACTCTGGCATTGAAGTCACCAAGGAGCACATCCTTGTCTTCTCTGGGATAGAGGTAAGCACTCTCTCGAGGTCGGCACAAAAGGCCTCCTTGATGTCATCCTCTGCATCCAGTGTTGGGGTGTATGCACTGACGAAAGAAGGCATGATGCGAGGTATTCAGTGGGCCTCGAAGCACTTGTCGATCCCAATAGGCATTTCAGTTAGCCTGTCTAGAATGTGTTGGTGGATGGCAAGGCCAACTCCATAAATGCGGTTTCTCTCCGCAGCAGGCTTACCCTTCCAGAAGGTGCAGCCAGACCCTCGTTCCGTGAGATAACCCTCGTCTGGGAGCCGGGACTCACCAATGGCTGCTATGTTGATGTTATACCTAGCCAGCTGTTTTTACACAAGGTCAGTTCTTCTTTCAGGATGCGCATTTGTGCCAGTATCCAGAAGGGTGCTGGTATTCCATGCAGCGACCATAAGAGGTTGTATGCTTTGATTTTGTTTGAATCTGTGATTTTGACCACATAAGGATGACCTTACTGGGTGCTGGCTCCCCATAAAGGTTTCTCAGTAGCACAGACAGGATCGGATTGCACTGCTGCCTTGATCCCAGCGCATAAACAACCATCTTATCTGTGCCGCCCATGTGCAGAGTTGTGATTAGAGACTCCCGGCAGTCATCTCTGGCTGTCCCCGTCACCACTCGTCCGTCGCCATAGGACTTTTGGGGGTACAGGGGTTTTGATGATGATGAGAGGTATGATGAGCTGGGTGATGGCTGCACGTGGGTTGATTTATGTGTTGAGGCAGGAGCGCAGGCTGCAACCACACATCTTGGTTCTCCCTTTTCCTCATCCAGTGGAGCAAGTGTTGCAATGACTAGGGAGTTGCAATGGACTGCCGATAGCCCAGTTTGTTGGGTTTCGCCTTTGTAGCCTGTCCATCAGGCATTGCCTTCAAATCCGCCGGTGTAGTCGTTGAGTTCCCATGGTGGTCACCTCTGCCGCCTACACCGCCATTGGGGTCTTGTTGGAGCTCTGTAAGCATGTTTGCCTCTTGCGGGGCTCCACCGCAGATTTTTCGTTTGGGGTTTACTCCCGTAGCCTAATACTTGCCAAGGTTAATCCGCAAGGCAGCGGGACGGTGATTGGTAGGCGCCAAGACGTGTCCACTTGCCAGTTGGCCGGTGCGCCCTCCCTCTGGGGCCCACTGCTACTCCGAGATCCCCTGCTGGTCTAGCTGCACGAGGCACCCAGTTACCGAGTGATGCCACGAGGAGGCACAGCAGGAGTCTTGATGGTGAGGAGGCTGTGTACTGGCAGGGGAAAACTTATGCAAGTTGCTTCCCTGTTCGCCACGAGGGCTAGCCAGCAGTGGCAGCTGAAGGCGAGAGGGATCAAACAGTGCTTGCACCTTAACATTAACATAATGCTGCCACTCAAGACGCATTTCACCACCCTGCGTGTGGCTCACTTACCTAGAGTAACGTAGAGAGAGATGGGGATGATATAATTGAAGATAATGAGGAAAGAAGAAGCTGTCCTGGACGACATCCTCAACCGTCACTGTTGAGTTTGCGGCCACGCCCAGGTACCACATGTCCTCTGTACAGGTACACACAACACTTAGGTTAGTATCACCCTTCAGTATGTTTAAATAAAGATTAGAAATGTATAGAAGGTTTAGGTAAGCTTAGAATGTATAGAAGGTACAGGCAAGCTTAAAAATTTAATGTATGAAACTTAATAATGGAGATTATACAGCAGGTACTTCAACACGGTACTGTACACCACCCATGATAGGTCCAGTATACAGCAGGTACTTCAACACGGTACCTTACTCACCCATGATAGGTCCAGTATACAGCAGGTACTTCAACACGGTACTGTACTCACCATGATAGGTCCAGTATACAGCAGTACTTCAACACGGTATGCTCACCATGATAGGTCAGTATACAGCAGTACTTCAACACGGTACTGTACTCACCCATGATAGGTCCAGTATACAGCAGGTACTTCAACGGTACTGTACTCACCATGATAGGTCCGTATACAGCAGGTACTTCAACACGGTACTGTACTCACCCATGATAGGTCAGTATACAGCAGGTACTTCAACACACTTTATCTCACCCATGATGGGTACAGTATACAGCAGGTACTTCAACACGGTACTGTACTCACATGATGGTACAGTATACCAGGTACTTCAACACGGTACTGTACTCACCATGATGGGTACAGTATACAGCAGGTACTTCAACACGGTACTGTACTCACCATGATAGGTCAGTATACAGCAGGTACTTCAACACGGTACTGACTCACCCATGATAGGTCAGTATACAGCAGGTACTTCAACGGTACTGTACTCCACCCATGATAGGTCCAGTATACAGCAGGTACTTCAACACGGTACTGTACTCCACCATGATAGGTCAGTATACAGCAGGTACTTCAACACGGTACTGTACTCACCATGATAGGTCCAGTATACAGCAGGTACTTCAACACGGTACTGTACTCACCCATGATAGGTCCAGTATACAGCAGGTACTTCAACACGGTACTGTACTCACCATGATAGGTCAGTATACAGCAGGTACTTCAACACGGTACTTACTCACCCATGATAGGTACAGTATACAGCAGGTACTTCAACACGGTACTGTACTCACCATGATAGGTCAGTATACAGGGTACTTCAACACGGTACTGTACTCACCCATGATAGGTACAGTATACAGCAGGTACTTCAACACGGTACTGTACTCACCCATGATGGGTCAGTATACAGCAGGTACTTACGGTACTGTACTCACCATGATAGGTACAGTATACAGCATGCTTCAACACGGTACTGTACTCACCATGATAGGTACAGTATACAGCAGGTCTTCAACGGTACTGTACTCACCATGATGGGTCCAGTATACAGCAGGTACTTCAACACGGTACTGTACTCACCATGATGGGTCCAGTATACAGCAGGTACTTCAACGGTGCTGTACTCACCCATGATAGGTCAGTATACGGGTACTTCAACACGGTACTGTACTCACCCATGATAGGTCCAGTATACAGCAGGTACTTCAACACGGTACTGTACTCACCCATGATGGGTCCAGTATACAGCAGGTACTTCAACACGGTACTGTACTCACCCATGATAGGGTACAGTATACAGCAGGTATTCTTCAACACGGTACTGTACTCACCATGATAGGTCAGTATACAGGGTACTTCAACACGGTACTGTACTCACCATGATAGGTCAGTATACAGCAGGTACTTCAACACGGTACTGTACTCACCCAATGGGTCAGTATACAGCAGGTACTTCAACACGGTTTCATGCTCACCCATGATAGGTACAGTATACAGCAGGAATTTAACACGGTACTGTACTCACCATGATAGGTCCAGTATACAGCAGGTACTTCAACACGGTACTGTACTCACCATGATAGGTCAGTATACAGCAGGTACTTCAACACGGTACTGTACTCACCCAGTAGGTCCAGTATACAGCAGGTATTTCCAACGGTACTGTACCACATGATAGGTCAGTATACAGCAGGTACTTCAACACGGTACTGTACTCCACCCATGATAGGTCCAGTATCGCGAATTCCAACACGGTATACTCACCATGATGGGTCCATATACAGCAGGTACTTCAACACGGTACTGTACACCACCATGATAGGTCAGTATACAGGTACTTCAACACGGTACTGTACTCCACCATGATAGGTCAGTATACAGCGAATTCTTCAACACGGTACTGTACTCACCCATGATGGGTCAGTATACAGGTACTTCAACGTACTGTACTCACCATGATAGGTCAGTATACAGGGTACTTCAACGGTACTGTACTCACCCAATGGGTCAGTATACAGCAGTACTTCAACACGGTACTGTACTCCCATGATAGGTCAGTATACAGCAGGTACTTCAACACGGTACTGTACTCACCATGATAGGTCCAGTATACAGCAGGTACTTCAACACGGTACTGTACTCACCATGATAGGTCCAGTATACAGCAGGTACTTCAACACGGTACTGTACTCACCCATGATAGGTCCAGTATACAGCAGGTACTTCAACACGGTACTGTACTCACCCTATGATAGGTCCAGTATACAGCAGGTACTTCAACACGGTACTGTACTCACCCATGATAGGTCCAGTATACAGCAGGTATTTCAACACGGTACTGTACTCACCCATGATAGGTACAGTATACAGCAGGTACTTCAACACGGTACTGTACTCACCCATGATAGTCCAGTATACAGCAGGTACTTCAACACGGTACTGTACTCACCCATGATAGGTCCAGTATACAGCAGGTACTTCAACACGGTACTGTACTCACCCATGATAGGTCCAGTATACAGCAGGTATCAACACGGTACTGTACTCACCCATGATAGGTCCAGTATACAGCAGGTACTTCAACACGGTACTGTACTCACCCATGATAGGTACAGTATACAGCAGGTACTTCAACACGGTACTGTACTCACCCATGATAGGTCCAGTATACAGCAGGTACTTCAACACGGTACTGTACTCACCCATGATAGGTCCAGTATACAGCAGGTACTTCAACACGGTACACACGATAATTTGTAACAGCAAGACCGCCAGGAAGAAGACTAGAAAATTATTCATCGACCTGAAAAAAGGTTTGTGGTTGTTAGTAGTTGTTGTTGTTGATAGTTGTGGTTTTTGTTATTAGTTGTAATTAGTTATGGTGGTTGTTAAAATCTGGGGTTATTATTTTAGATTGCTGTTATTAGTCGCGCTCCCTCTCGCTTTCAGCTGCCACTGCTGGCTAGCCCTCGTGGCGAACAGGACAACTTGCATAAGTCTTCCCCTGCCAGTACTCCTGCTGTGCCTCCTCGTAGCAACACACGGTAACTGGGTGCCTCGTGGGCCCAGGCTAGACCAGCAGAGGATCTCGGGTAGCAGTGGGCCCCAGAGGGAGGGCACATAAGCGCCTATCAGCCACTGCCCCACTGTCTTGCGATTAACCTTGGTAGGTATTAGGCTACAGGAGTAAACCCGAAACGAAAATCCTGTGGTGGAGCCCCGCATCAGGCAAGCAAGCTCACAGAGCTTCATCAGGAACCCAACGGCGGTATAGGCGGAAGAGGTGACCACCATGGGAACTCAACGACTACACCAGTGAACGAAGGCAATGCATGATGGACAGGCCACTGTGGTGAAACCCAACAAACTGACCTACCAGCTGTCCATTGCAACTCTCCCTCCCCCCAGTCGTTGCAACACTTGCACCACTGGATCAGGAAAAGGGAGCCAAGATGTGTGGTTGCAGCTTGCGCTCCTGCCTCACCACACAAATCAACCCACGTTCAGCCATCACCCAGCTCATCATACCTCTCATCATCATCAAAATCCCTATACCCCCAAAAGCCCTATGGCGACGAACTAGTGGCGACGGAAACAGGCCGAGATGACTGCCGGGAGTCTCTAGTCACAACTCTGCACATGGGCGGCACAGATAAAATGGTCGTTTATGCACTGGTATCTTGGCAACAGTGCAATTGGTCCTGTCTGTGCGACTAAGCAGCCCTTTCGAGGAGCCACTCTGCTCACCCCACATGGGGAGGGAGCTAGAAAAGGTGCCCTAAACATAGTCTGCCTAAAGAACCAACCTGACTGCATAACCGCACTCAGTAAGGTCATCCTTTTGTGGTCGAAAACTCGATCATAATCACAGATCAAAACAATCTATGCAACAACCTCTTATGGTCGCTGCATGGAATGTCAGGACCGTTCTGGATACTGGCACAAATGAGCGTCCTGAGAGAAGAACCGCCCTTATGGCAAAAGAGCTGCCTAGGTATAACAACGACATAGCAGCCATTAGTAACTCCCGGCTCCCAGATGAGGCTCGACTCAGAGCGGGGGTCTGGCTATACCTTCTTCTAGAAGTGTAAGCTTTCTGCAGAGAAACATTATTTATGGAGTTGTCTAACTGAAATGCCTGTTGGGATCAACGAGCACCTCGTGATGCTGAGTCCCACTAAATCACTCACGCCATGTCTTTATCATCAGTGCATACACCCCAACACTGGATACAGAGGATGACATCAAGAAAGCCTCGACAGAGTGCTAACCTCTGTCCCCAGAGAAGACAAGGTTGTGCTCCTTGGTGAATTCAATGCCAGAGTTGGCAGAGATGCTGACATTAGGCAGGGAACCATAGGGAGAAATGGACTTAGCAAGTGTAAACCCAACGGCCTGCTGCTCCTCAGCAAGTGTGCTGCACACAACCTCACCATCACCAATATCTTGTTTAGGCAGGCCGAAAAGTTCAAGGGTTCGTGGCAACACCCACGTTCCAAACAATGGCATCTCATTGACTACATCATTGTCAGAGAAACAGATCTGCGAGATGTCCTCATCACCCGTGCCATTCGTGGCTCAGACCACAACAACATTGATCATCAGCTCGTCAGAGCCAAACTCTCACTTCTCTCCACCCCAAAATGGGGAAGGCAGCAAGCCTCTATAAGAGGTTTTAACACTAAGCATCTGGAGGATCCAGTAGTAGCACATGGTTTCAGAGAGCAGCTCGAACACGGGCTGATAAGCAACCCGACAACAAACAACCCAAATCCCAGTGCCGAATGGGATATTATCGACTCTGTCATGTCAAAAACCTGCAGAGACCCTCGGCCGGATCGACAAAAAATACACCAGGACTGGTTTGATGAAAATGACCCAAAAACCAATGCACTTGTTGATGATAAACGTGCTGCTTTAACTGACTGGCAGAACAACCCTCAGTCTCGGACCAAAACTGATACTTTCCGCAAGAAGAAATCAGCAGCACAGCAAGAACTTCGCAATCTAAAGAACAACCAGTATAAAAATAAAGCATGTGAAACACAAAAACTTGCAGATCGGCATAAGATGCAAAAAAAAATTAAATTCAACTAAAACATTTTATTGGCCAATCACTCACGAAGCAGCCACCCTTCTGCTCATCCGGCAGTAACTCCCCAATTAATGAAGAAAGCATCCTTCAGCCCTGTAAAGAGCACTACCAGTCACAGCTCAACGGAAACACAGATGTGCATCCAGAGCTGACCCACCTCAGTTATCCTCCATCCCTGGGTGAGGTAGCTACTGCCATCAAACAGATGAAAAATAACAAAGCCTCAAAGCCTCATGGAATCTCAGCGGAGGTGTATAAAGCAGGAGGACCTCTGCTTACAAAGCAGCCTCCACTCGCTCCTGGAGAATCTATGGGAAAAGGAGGAAATCCCCCAAGCTCTTAAAGACGCCTCCATTGTCAATATTTATAAGAACAAGGGAAACCGGTCAGGCCGTGGCAACTACCTCAGGATCTCGCTGCTGTCCGTAGCTGGCAAGATTATCGCCCAAGTCCTCCTAAACAGACTTCTTCCTGAGGCAGAAAAACTCCTCCTAGAATCTCAATGTGGGTTTAGACCATCACGTGGCACCACCGACATGATCTTTGCTGCCAGCCTGATGGGAAAAGTGCAGAGAAGAGAGTCGTGACCTGTACATGGCCTTCATCGACCAAACCAAGGCCTTTGACTCGATCAACAGGAAAGCCCTCTGGCAGACCCTCTGCCATTTTGGCTGCCCACCAAATTTCATCGCCATTGTGAGGCAACTCCACGATGGCATGAACGGCATTGTCCTACACAATGGCACCCAGGATGAGTTCTTCCCCCATCCAAACAGAAGTAAAACAAACATGTGTACTGGCACCAACTCTCTTTTCCATTTTCTTGGCTGCCTTCCTTATTCGTGCTAGTGCCGGCGGGGTGGATATCCAGTACCAGATGAAGGGTATTTTCAACATAAAACGACTCCAGGCAGGAACAAAGGTGTCGGCAGTTTCCATTACAGAACTTCAGTATGTAAACAACCTCATCTTTTTCGCTCACTCTGAACGCGACCTACAGGTGATCCTGAACACCTAAGCAGATGAGTATGCACACTTTGACCTTGAGGTAAGTGTCCGTAAGACTCAGACTCTCTTTCAACCTGCCCCTGGTTTAGACACACCTTCACCATCCATCCAGCTTAACTGTACTACCGTCTCTAATGTTACCCACTTTCAGTATCTCGGTTCCCACCTAACCACCACTGCAGACATCGATGAAGAGATTCAACATCGGATCAGATGTGCATCTCAAGCCTTTGGAAGACTCCGTACCCGTATCTTCAGCTGTAGGGAGCTGAAATTATCTACAAAGTTGCACGTATATCGAGCAGTGGTCCTCCCCGCCCTGTTATATGGCAGCGAGACATGGGTCACATACAGGAAGCACCTCAAAGCACTCGAAAACTTTCACCAACGTAGTCTACGTTCCATCCTCGAGTTCGCTGAGAAAACAAGAGTACAAATGCCAGTATTCTCGCTGACACCAACTGTACGAGCATCGAGGTTACCATTATCCATGAATAACTATGCTGGACTGGCCATGTAACCCGCATGGACGACAGTAGACTACCAAAACAGCTACTTCACAGTCACCTAACGAATAATAAACGTAACGCTGGCGGGTAACTGAAAAGGTAGAAGGATAGTCTTAAGACAAACCAGAAAAAGTGCCAAATCGACCCCTTCACCTGGGAGACGATTACTCCACACGGTAACGCTTGGAGGAGCACCACACCAAAAAGTGTCAATGTCTTCTAGTTAGCCCGACTGCATACCAAGGCAGGCAAGTGCCAACGCCAAAAACCGCTGCCGCCGCCCCTCCCGCACTAGACGTAGCCTTCCACATGTGCAGCATCTGTGAACGACCCTGCCGCTCCAGTATCGGCCTCTTTAGTTACCTTAAAATTCACCCACCTAGGTGACATCCCTAATAACTCATTTCATTGTATAATAGCTGGATGATCATCATACTCGATTCCGAGTGACAGCAAAGTAGTAGTAGTAGTGTGTGTATGTGTGTGTGTGTGTGTGTACACTCACTTCTCAACAGTGGAGAACTTGTTGCTGGTCATCTTAGAGTTGAGAGCCATCTTGGTCTCCTCCCCTGTATAGATGGCGACCCCTGAAGAGAGGCATGGTGAGAGAGAGAGAGAGAGATAGTCATGGTGACAGATTAACGGTTCACAAATTTATTGACAAAGCTTGAAGTAGTTTGCCTATTCTGAGTAATTCAGTCAGGTCTTGACACAGAGAGTGGTATCACTTCTCACTGCCACGCAGGACAGAGGTTCATATACAGAGGGTGTGGTGACAGAGAGAGGCATGGTGAAGAGAGAGAGAGAGAGCCACGTACCATACACTGTAGATGTATTCTTGAGCCGGGCGCCCCTGGGCAGGAGGTTGTCAGTGTTGAGGGAGGCAGTGGTAGGAAGGCCGGAGCCCCGATACACTTCCATCTTGCCCTTAAAGTCGTATAAGTTGGCGTGAGGCAGCTGAGGACAGTGTGAGATACTGCTCAAGTAACTGCATGTTTATCTGTCTATATGTTTAATTCTGTAGGTTTATCTCAACTAATTCTACGTTTATCTTCGGTTTAATTAATTCCGTTTATCTTTATCTGTTTAATTAATCCTCTAGGTTCATTTATTGCGGTCTATTGTTTCATTAATAAATGCCATAAATATCCATCATCTTTATATGAATGCTCTCTCGTGTTTACAGCCTGAAACAGATGAGGAGAGCCTGGCGCCAAGACAGACTCGTAAATCATGAAAACTGACCTGTAGCTGACCAGATATCACGTGACCTGTAGCTGACCAGATATCACGTGACCTGTAGCTGACCAGATATCACGTGACCTGTAGCTGAGCAGATATCACGTGACCTGTAGCTGAGCAGGTATCACGTGACCTGTAACTTACCTGACATTCTATTACGGCCCTCATCTTCCACAGGTCATCCACACAGGTTAGGTACTGAGACTCGTCAGGGCAGAGGAAGGTCTATGGGAGAGAGAGAATTGTTAATTTTAAGCATACTTTGTCATGTCAGGTAAGGTAAATTAATAAGACCTCATGGTGTGCAAGGGCCAATCAGCGCCCTTCATTCTAAACTTCATGGTGTGTAGGAGCCAATCAACTCCCTTCATTGTAAACATCATGGTGTGTAAGAACCAATCAGCGCACCTCATTCTAGACGTCATGGTGTATAAGAGCCAATCAGCTCCCTTCATACTAGATTTCATGGTGTGTAAGAGCCAATCGGCGCACCTCATTCCCTCATACGAATAAATTCTACAAAGGAAAAAAAATTGCGTCCAGCATGTTATTCACCTTTAAGTTGGTCTCCCCGTCCAAGTTGGCGGTGGTCACGCTGCACTTGCCCTCAGCGTCAGAGGACATCAACAACAGAAGGTCACAGGGGAACTGCTCGTCGGCCGCCACTACCACAATGTCCCCGACCTCTATGTCTCTCGTGCGTACCTCCTGGTGGCAGTAAAGGTCTTTGCACTCAGTTGAGAATCCTTAAGGAGAATCAAATCACTCTATAACCAAGTTTCATATAATCCAAGTGTTTAATTCTTCTCTCTATTGTTATTTACCTTATACGTACACCTCTTACTGCGTGATATTGTGTGTTAAGTGTGAGTTTCTCTGAGAGCACTGACATAAGAGACGAGGACACCAGCTTTATTACAGAGCACTGTCAACAAGTCTCTCCAACGAGGTAAAACACAATATAAATGGATATCTGTCTGTACATTATGATTACTCCTCCTTGTGGGAAACACGTAGCCTCTTTCACGAACCTTCCCTATAGGAGAAATATGACTTGAGATATATCAACAAAGATGAAAACAAAGAAAAGGTAAATATGAAGGCTTGTAATGTGTAATCAGGGGTTTGAGTCGTCCATAGGTGTGTGAGAGACCGTCAGGGTATGCCTACACCGGTGCAGTAGGGTGTGTCATAGGAGGGAAGATCAGCTAAAACTAATGGCCCATCACTTTTTTGGTAGATTTTAGTGTATATAAACAGAAAATAATTTCAGTTTCAATATTTTGCAACCTTTTGCTAGGTAAATTTTAGCGTGAAATTTATCGAAAATCTAACGTACAGCTGCATTAGTGCATTACAATTAAATAGTGAACATTGCTTTCTGACTTCATTCTTTAACAACCCAAGTAACAATATTTTTTTCTGTTTCATATTCTGATGCATTTATAAGTTGATAATATTTGCGATGGCTGCTTGTGTCAGGACGAGGAACAAAAAATCCAGCCATCTCAGTCACTATCTTGGGTCTGGGAGAGAGCTCCTGAAGTCGGAGTTGCCTACATTGAGAGATGCTTTGAGATACGGTGTTTTAATCAGGCAAATCAGTGAAAAGAACCAAAGAACTTACACAAACAAAGACATTGCCAGTGATATGACCAAAGCTGTCTTGGCACAGTACACTCTGGCTAACGCTCAGTTCAAACCTCTCAGTCATAACAAGTCAGAAGAAGATTAATTGAGACTGCTAGCCAGTTGGGAAAAAGGCAAAGAGATATCTCTCTCTTGGGAAGGGAAAACTTTGCAGTTAAGGACAGCTTTGCCAAGCAACTGGACCAGTTATTTGACATAATTACTTGCAAGTGCCCAATTGTTCTCTGTGAGTCCAGAGACAGAAGAGGAAGAGACACAAGATATTTAGATGACGATCTTCCCCATGGCTGATCCGAGTGCTGACCAGGAGAATGCTGACTTTGTCCCTAACCCAGAAAATAGTGATCCCAAACCTTCCAGACATAAGATTCGAAATAGGAAAAATATCCCGAGCATAGCTCTGGCCAGCATGCGACACCACACTGGTCTCAGAGAAACTGCAGAGATAGCAAAAGCTGCCTGGGTTGACGGTGGTTTGATAACACCTGATGATGTTCACCTGGTGATAGATCATAACAAAGTAAGGAGAGCTCAGGAGAAACTTGTCAGTAACCTAGAAGAGGAGTTTGATAAGGGGATAAGAGAAAATGGAATCAATTGTTTGTTCTTTGATGGGAGAAAGGATGACACTAAAGTGTTCATGAAAGTTGGAGATTCTGACAAGTTGTTCCCTGCCATGGTGAAGGAGGAACACTACTCCTGCTGCAGTGAACCAGGAGGGAAGTATTTGTGGCATTTCACTCCAGAGAAAGATGACATCAGGAAACCAGCTGAGATAGTGGCAGATAACATTGTGAACTGGCTCAGAGAGGAACGTAGACCAGACCCTGCAGGCCATTGGAGGGGACAGCACCAACACGAACACAGGGTGGCAAAGGGGGGTCATACAGTGGATAGAGCGGAAGATTGGGAGGAAGCTGGTCTGGATTGTTTGTGACCTCCACACCAACGAGTTGCCACTCAGACATCTGATCCAGGAGCTGGATGGCAAGATTCTTTCAAACAACAGATGGTCTGGTCTCTTGGCAAGATGCTGGACTCTGCCACTGAGTTAAAATAAATCCGAGCTTTGAAAAAATCACAGTTGGCCTCCACTCGTTGAGCTTGCACATACTGCCATTGACGACCTAGTACTGACCAGTACTATGGTTACATGATTTGCAGTGCCATCAAAACTGGGGTCATGCCTGATAGACTTGCTTACCCGCAGATAGGTCCAGTCTACATTCTAGGTGAAAACCACAACGGCTCTCAGGTTCTGCAGGGTGGGTCGCTCATCATAAACTGAAAGGGAACCAGCTTCACAACCTGAAACTTATTGTCCAATTCATCGTGAGTGTCTACTTGCCAAATTGGTTCAACACCAAGGTCAAGTCATCGTTCTCCGAAGGTCCGAGGCATGTTCTCTTCCAGCTTGAGCTCCTGAGGAGTCAGCCAAGGAAGGTTGTTCAGATTGCGGAGCAGACTGTGAGGAGATCTTCCTGGTATGCTCATCCCGAGACAGTTCTGCAGACAATGCTCTGCAGTAAGGATGAGGAGAGAAGAGTGGCAGTCAAAAAGATCTTGGATATAAAACTTATGAGAGGATCTGGGCATGACGAATCAGCTGGTGACGATTCCTTCAGGGTCAGGAAGACTCCTGAAGTCAATCTAGGTGCCAAGACCCTCACTGATCTCATAGATTTGGATAACATCCAGGCTGGCAGTGAGCCCCACCTACTTACCTGCAGCCTCACCAATGTTCAAGTCAGGCTTTCCTGGACAGCCCATGCATGTCTACTTACTGGCCCTCACCCACACCCAGAGTATAGAGCGTTGTGTACAGCAAGTGAGCCAGGCCAGCAGTCACGTGTACAGCCAGGAGAGGAGGGAAGGCTACATCCGAGCTCAGGTGGTCAGCAGGGAGGTGATGAGTAGAAACAGAAGCAAGAAAGACATGTTCTCTATGGTGTGCAGCAACACCCGGTCGTAGTAGTAAAACCGGTTTTTGTATTTGATGATTTTGTTTTCTAAAGGAATAATAAATTTAATAAATGTGTCAAGATCATTCGTTTCACTATTCTGGATCATTTTCATCCTAATAAATTAACCTGGTATTTACTTTACTTTAAACTAAGCTATTTAGTGGTGTTGGTAAAAAGATTGGAATACTGAATTTTCACTAAAGATTTCAAGTTAAAAATTTACTAGCAAAAAATAAACTTTTCAAATCTGAAAGATATCACATGATTCTGCATAGAACTACATCATTAATACCATGGGCCGATTTTTCAAACTAAAAAAAAAAAAATTCGCCTCCGTATGACACACCCTACCTGTGCAGTGTTTATACTAGATCGTTCAATCCATGATCCGTCTTGCTCCAGGGCTGCCTTGTGCAAAGGGCGGGGGGGGGGGCTTTTCGACTATTGGTATGCTTATATTCCCGTTAATATCAATGTACACAAGAAATGTCATAGAAAAAAGTCGATTCAAAATCAAATTCTACATATAATGTATCTATTGTCATCCTAACCTAATGAATACTGAAAATGTTCAAATATTATGTGCTGGTTAACGAGCAACGTGAAGAAACTTTTCAGTAGCAGAAAGCTTCAGTTTTTCAATAACATCCCAAAAATTGTAAAGGAATAATATTTTACCAAACCTAACCTACCCAAAAACAAAGAAAACCCAAAAGAAACCAAACCTAATGACTCGTATATCAGGATACAGTCCATGACTTTTCCAACCTAACTTAACATCCCGGCTGTGTAGCTTCCAGTCTACCCAGCAGGGGAGTCCAAGCTTAGTAGTCCCTTTCATTAACTGGCGTAGACCAACACGGTGAATAACATCAATTATTTTGGTCCATCATCTTACAGTTATGGAAGATGATGGCCTCAGCACATTTCCTGTTGTATTAGAGTAATGTCGATTCATTTTGAATCATTCGTGCCCAAGGAAATTTATATTTTTCCCCAATAGAAGTCTAATACAGTATAGTGCAAGTACCAGTAAATTGCACCTTAAAGCAAACATAAATCGCTCCTCGGGCAGTAATCGATCATATGAATCGAGGAGAGTTGTAAACAAAATTACTTCGTTAAAAAAGACTTTGTTTCGATGATATTCACTAAACTTCTTGAATACCATAAGTAAGCAATACCTGTAAGGGACAGACATCCTTCGCTCCATCATCTTGAATACAGCCCAGTGTAATTTTTTGTGAGCGTCTTCCATCCTTGGCAACAAATGTCCAGCAACTGAAATTTGGCCCTTTCTTTTACTACCAGCAGTACCCACCATCACCTCACCCTCCAGCAGTAACCACCATCACCTCACCCTCCAGCAGTACCCACCTTCACCTCACCCTCCAGCAGTACCTACCTTCACCTCACCCTCCAGCAGTACCCACCTTCACCTCACCCTCCAGCAGTACCTACCTTCACCTCACCCTCCAGCAGTACCCACCTTCACCTCCAACAGTACCCACCTTCGCCTCACCCTCCAGCAGTACCCACCTTCACCTCACCCTCCAGCAGTACCCACCTTCACCTCACCCTCCAACAGTACCCACCTTCACCTCACCCTCCAACAGTACCCACCTTCACCTCACCCTCCAGCAGTACCCACCTTCACCTCACCTCCAGTACCCACCTTCACCTCACCCTCAACAGTACCCACCTTCACCTCACCCTCCAGCAGTACCCACCTTCACCTCACCCTCCAACAGTACCCACCTTCACCTCCAGCAGTACCCACCTTCACCTCACCCTCCAACAGTACCCACCTTCACCTCACCCTCCAACAGTACCCACCTTCACCTCACCCTCCAGCATGTACCCACCTTCACCTCACCCTCCAACAGTACCCACCTTCACCTCACCCTCCAGCAGGACTCTGGAGGGGGAGTTGTTAACCTTGTTGTCCTCACGGTGCCTCAGCCAGTCCTCGTACCCCTGCTTCACCGCCGTCACACATATCACCAGCACCAGCGGCAGGACGCTCGTCAGGGGAGACACCGGGCTGTTGATGGATAACTAAACCCGGAAAAAACGGAACGCCTGTAGATTACCCACCTCGACTTACTGATGATGAAAGACCTCTAACCTAACAGACTTTACCGGGTGATTAAACAATTCTAACAAGAGAACATAGTATGAACTAATACACTAACTACTGCAGTGAACGGTGCTTAATAACCCTGGTAGTTAAAGGATCCAAATTAATGAGTTTTTTATTGTTTACGGTACACAGACAGTCAAGTAATGTACTGAGCTGAAGTTAAAGTTAAATCTAATTGTCTTCTTTATCTAATTATCAATAATAACACCAGTCTTACCTGTATAACAGCGACACACAGGAAGTAGAAGTTAGCAATACGGCGAAATTGTTCCAGCAGATTCTTGGGCAGGAAGGTAACGATCGAGTACTGTGGAAAACAAAAGGGGAATGATTCTTTTTTATGGGGTCTACCTCACCCAGGCACAGGTCACTGACCCACATCGGGGCCTGGGGACCAAAAATAAATAAATTGATCCATAAATAAATAGAGAAATGGAAAAAATGGTGCGAATCAAGAGTGAGAAACAATTGAGACCCTGCAATTGTGTGTAAATGAGGCAGAAAGTCAGATCATCAACCTGGGACTTGGTCACATATGGCAGCAGGGTCTACCATTAGACAACACATTATGCTTCCAATATCTTCCCAGGCGGTAGTACCTCCCTGTTTGGTAGCTGCCTACTACCCGCACTTTTTTTTTTAGGAAAATGCGTTTCTTGGATAATTAATATATACTTATATTATCTTTTAAGGCGTTACAAGTCATTAAATGTCTTATTGATCACTGGAACAGAATACAAATATCTTGAATTTTGAGCTATTTTGCTAAAGTGAACCATCCTTTTTCTCATTTTTGGGGGTAAATATTTAGGTATTTTGGTTCCTGTTTTCTTAAATTCAGCAGACGATGACCTCGGACTTCTTAAATTTCCTGCTGGCATGACAGGGTTGTGTGTTGACCACTCGAGGGTAGTGGTTCACTAAGGCACCACTCGCATAAACAGTTGATAATGTAATCATATTGTTCAAGAGTTTATACAAGTTGGTGTAACTCGCTCCGAAAAGATCTTTACGATTTTGTGTGAGACAATATGACAACTGACGAAGAATTTTGACAACCCTACCGAGACAACAGGAGTCGCAATGTTCATTTTGAAATTCATCGGACGCCTCCGTAGAGATACTTTTTGGAGTGTGTACAATGGATTGACTAAAACAACCACTCCAGTCAAAAATAAATCCTAGAACCCATGACTAAGAAGCGACCACTTACCCATACAGTTACAAAATCTACAGACATGAGGTAGCTAAATAAATACTGTATGGGAGATGATTCAATACTGTCCTGGTGTTCGATTACATTTGTGATACAACTTTTTCAATAGATGAATAAGTCACCAGTAAGATAGTTTAACTTATTCGTACTTAAGCACTGCACGTCCCATGACCCTGCAAGTGTAGAGTACAGACCTACAACCCTGTACTGTAGCCACCGTGTCCTCCAGTACTGGTTACCGCAACAGACGTGCAGTACATTGTGTGCAGTAAAAAATACTTCCCTATCATAGTGCCAACAATGATTACTAGATAAATGTAACCGTATAAAATGTAATTTAAAAGAACACGTCAGCATTCACTCCTAATTCATAACAACAATCAGCTAACCCACAAACACCGTAAAACGAACCGTGATTAAATATTGAAAAGACGTCAAAATATTAATTATCGAAGCGCCCTTCAGGTGACTCGCGTGAGGTTTAGGAGGCGAGGTTGGCGTGAGGTTTAGGAGGCGAGGTTGGTGTGAGGTTTAGGAGGCGAGGTTGGCGTGAGGTTTAGGAGGCGAGGTTGGCGTGAGGTTTAGGAGGCGAGGTTGGAGTGAGGTTTAGGAGGCGAGGTTGGCGTGAGGTTTAGGAGGCGAGGTTGGCGTGAGGTTATGACTAGTAACGATGATAATAAACAAATAGACGAACTAAAGCCTAATAAGTCACCTGGTCCCGATGAGATATTTGCCAGAGTATTAAAGGAATGTAAGGAAGAGCTTAGTATGCCCTTAGCAAAGTTGTTTAACATGTCCTTAAAAACGGATGTAGTAACAGAATCCTGGAGGATAGCGAATGTAATACCGATTTTCAAGAAGGGAGATAGATCACTATCCTCTAACTACCGTCCAGTCAGTTTAACATCAATTGTAGGTAAATTACTGGAAGCAATCATTTCAAACTCTATTCGAAATCACCTGGAGAAGCACAAGTTGATCAATGATTCCCAACATGGCTTCACAAGCGGGCATTCATGTCTAACTGATCTATTAACATTCTTTTCATCTGTTTTCGAATTAGAGGACGAGGGGCACGACTAAGATGTGGTATATCTTGACTTTTGTAAAGCCTTCGACAGTCCCCCACGAAAGACTAATACGAAAAGCGGAGGCTCATGGCATTGGAGGAGATATTCTAAAATGGATCGGCGTGGTTTAAGCACAGGAAACGGCGAGTGAGTATTAACAGCACTAAATCCGATTGGAGTAACGTCACTATTGGAGTACCCCAAGACCCAGTACTTGGACTATTATTATTTATTATATACATAAACGACATAGATATAGGCGTGGACAGCAACATAAGTAAATTTGCTGACGACACTAAAATAGGGCGTGTAATTAAATCTGACGAGGACTCCGCAAATCTCCGAAAATCTAAACAAATTTTCCAAATGGTCTAAAAAATGGCAGATAAAATTTAATGTGGACAAATGTAAAGTACTTAGTCTAGGAGATGTAAATAGAGAAACCAGATAGCAGATGGACAACGATGTTATTAAGAAATCCGACTGCGAGAAAGATTTAGGAGTAATGATAAGTAGAAATCTTAAGCCAAGTAAACAATGTGTATTTGCTGGAAACAAGGCTAACAAAGTACTTGGGCTCATACAAAGGAGTGTTAGTTACAAGACTAGCGAGGTCATACTAAAACTATATCTTGCACTTGTGAGACCACACCTGGATTACGCAGTTCAGTTCTGGTCACCGTATTACAGAATGGATGTAGGAACCCGAGAAAGATTTCGGAGGACAATGACAAGACTAATCCTGGGCATTAGGAACCTTGAGTACAGAGACAGGTTAAAGCATCTTAATTTGCACTCCCTCGAGAGACGTAGAGTGAGGGGCGACCTGATAGAGGTGTATAAGTGGAAGTCAGGGCTAAACAAAGGGGACATTACAAAGGTACTTAAACTATCCAACCAGGAGCGGATTCTTAGCAATGGTTTTAAATTAGACAAATCTGGATTTAGGCGCGAAATAGGTAAACATTGGTTTGGAAATAGAGTAGTGGACGAATGGAACGAGTTACCAAACATCATCATTAACTCGAATACGCTGGATAGCTTCAAACACGAGTGATAGGGGTTGGGTGTAAATGGGACTGCCCAGTATGGGTCAATAGGCCCGCTGCAGTTTCCTCCATTCTTATGTCATTATGGGTGAGGTTTGGAGGCGAGGTAGGCGAGAGGCTTAGGAGGCGAGAGGCTCAGGAGGCGAGAGGCTCAGGAGGCGAGAGGCTCAGGAGGCGAGAGGCTCAGGAGGCGAGAGGCTCAGGAGGCGAGAGGCTCAGGAGGCGAGAGGCTCAGGAGGCGAGGTTAGGAGGAGAGGTTACGAGGTGAGGTAGGCGAGAGGTTATGGGGTGAGGTAGGCGAGAGGTTATGGGGTGAGGTAGGCGAGAGGTTATGGGGTGAGGTAGGCGTGAGGTTACGAGGTGAGGTAGGTGTGAGGTTAGGAGGTGATAAGAGAGGAGTCTGAACAATATCAGGGGTATGGCTGCCAGCATGTACTGTACAGTACACACACCATCTTACTACCACTACTAACACTACTTTTTTTATCGTGGCCTCCAGCCTGCCCCAATAGCCACATATTCGCCACCCTTTCATTTCCACAATATTAAATATCTTAATACAAAAGTAACTATCCTAGCCGAGTTAGTTAAGCCGCATTCGGTGACTGTTCCCTCATGGTCAATAACTGCAACTGTTGTTGGCTTTGGGGCTGAAGATTTCATTTCCCCGAGGCAGAGCAATACAGACCTAAAAAGCAGAGAGAACGTGAGTCGGCATCTCAACCAAGCTGCAAGGTAACTTCTGGGCTGCTGATTCTGTTCGGATAACACCTCGGCCGGTCTTGTGTATAAACATCATGCACTTGGTCCCATCCCACTAGAGGTTGTGAACACCAAAGGAGTGAAGCTGCCTTGATCAACGTTCTGAATTCTCTCCCCATCTGCCCTAATCGTGTCGCTCTTGTTCCTCATGTGTGCAGCATCGAGAGCTAGGTTGCGGTGACATGCGGCCATGGGATCAAAAATCCATGTCGAAAATGGCTCTGTTCCTGCGTCCAGAATCCTCGACCACTAACGTTCACACGGCCTTCGTTGGATGTGTTTGAAGTCCTGTGATGGAGGTTCTCACCGTCCAATGGAAGGAGGGGCGGTTCCACCATGACGTCGTGGCAGATTTCCTTCAGTAGATTTGCTGTTAGATCCCTTACTTCGTCATACCTTATGCATACGAAGCCCCCTTTCTTGCACACCATGGCGTGGTCGATGTCATAAGATGAGCCACACACGCATTGGGAGGGCAAACCTTCTACTGGCCTACCGTACCTTAGAGCAATGGCATCTGTGAATTCTTGCTTATTAAGGATGAAGCCTTTTGCCCTTATCGGTAACGTTGTTAACCAGTTTGAGGCGCCCACCTCCTGCTTTATAGCTACTATTCTTTTCACGTTCTCGGACACTTGTTGTAATAGTTGTTGCAGTTTATCACTTCGGGTGTGCTACCGCTCTGTCGTAATGGACCGTCGAATCTTCTTTAATTCATTAGTATCCACCTGACTTGCTGCACTCTGATCTATTATGTGCTCAGTGAGAGCTGCCGTGAGCTTGACAGAGTTCTGATGTTCTGTACGGTAAGCTCCACTCGATTAGTCTATCCCATTCCTCCTAGTCTCGGTGGTAGTGCAAGGAGTGACCTTTCTGCTGGGGTTAAGTAAGGGTGTATCACTAGTGTTGGGATAAAAGCGACTACTATTACTACTACCACCACCACTTTTATTACTATTACTATTACTACCTCACCCCTATCACTACTACTACCACCACTACTACTACGTGTCGTTACGCACCATCAATCACTGTTCCTGATAAGCCCACTTAACCCCTATGTTGAGTATTAGCCATAAACCCACCACGATCATCCCTCGCCACACTCCACCTCACACCTGGACATATTAGGCAGCACCTGAAGATTGGCCCCCAGCTTATTTCACCGCATTAAACACCCTAATGCCACCTGCAGGGTTAAATTACAGATAGGTTAGATTAGGTTAAATTAGGTTAGGTTAGGTTAATTTTAATGTTAGGCTAGGTTAGATCAGGAGAAGATAAGTTTAGTTAGATTAGATTAGGTTATGTTAGGTTAGGGGTCCGGTATTTAGTTTTAAACCTGTAGGAAAGGACCAAGACGTGTTTGAAACACATAAGAACAACATGCTCCTTTTTTTAAAACAACTTCATGAATGCTAACTGGGATCTTGTCTATGCCTCCAACAACCCTAACGTGAACAGCTGTAACTTCTCTAGCATCTTCAATACTTGCTTTGATAAATGCTTCCCGCTCAAGACTAAGTCAATGAAAACTGTATTCATTTCCAAACCCTATATCACAGGCAAAATTAAGATAGTGATAAAAGAAAAACACAAACTCCAAAGGAAATTTGCAAAAAGACCCATAACTTTCGGTGATGCTTACCGAAGTGTCAGAAAAAGAGTAACTCCAGCAGTTAGAAATGCCAGATGTAGCTATTATACAAAAGCTCCAGTCAAGATCAGGCAACAGCAAGAAAACCTGGAGTATCATCAATTCTATTCAGTACAGTATAAGTCAACCCACGGCCCCCCACTCAGCTGTTATGATAAGGATACAGTTGTAACGGAACCCTCCCTCATTACCAACCACTTCAGTGATTATTTTATCAATGTTGGCAAAAAATCTTGCAGAGAGCGTCCATGATCACCTTGAGGAATTTAAAGCCTACCTGCAAAACAGACAGCAAAATGAGTGTTCTTATCCCCTGTCACAGCAGATGAATTACTGGCCATCATAAAAATGTCCAAAGATGCAGCAGCAGGCGAAGACAATATACCAATGAGCATCATTAAGAAAGTAGCCCACATATTACGACCTGTTCTACACATTTGTAACTCCTCCTTCACTAGTGGTGTCTTTCCAGATAAACTGAAAATTGCTAAATTTCACCCGGCATATAAAAAATCTGGGGACAAAGGTCCCTTCAAAAATTACCGCCCCATATCAGTCCTCCCAGCCTTGAGTAAGATATTGGAGAAGCTAGCATGTAGTAGACTAAATTCCTTCTGCAATGCCAATAACATCTTTACAGACTCCCAGTTTGGATTTAGAGCTAGAAGGTCGACTGAGAGTGCTCTGCTAGCCTTTACTAATGACATCTTAAATTCCTTTGATGACAGTCAGTTCACAGTCGGTTTATTCTTGGACCTCTCTAATGCCTTCGATACTGTCGACCATACCATCCTCCTTTCAAAGCTTCAACATTACGGCGTTAGGGGCCTGTCCCACAATTGGTTTACCTCATATCTGTCCAACAGGAAGCAGTATGTCGGCTATAATAATCACCAATCTGACTCTTCGCCAATCTTGTATGACGTCCCCCAAGGTTCCATTCTCGGTCCAGTACTGCTTTTGTTGTACATAAACGACATAGTCCACGCCAACACGCTCATAAAATACAACTTATTTGCAGACGATAGTAATCTTTATGCCAGCAACTCAGTCCACCATTCCTTGATGAGAACTATGAACACTGAATTGACTAAAGTCAGGACCTGGGTAATACGTAATAAACTGACCTTAAACCTTGAGAAAACCCACTACACGATCTCATAGAAGGAAAAACTTACCCCCAGACTTGGACCCACTGTACCTTGGTAATACAGTCCTCAAACGCGAACAAAATACTAAATTCCTCGGAGTTATTGTTGATGAGAAACTTAACTGGAGAAACCACACACACGCCATCCACAGTAAAGTCAATAAACAGTCCAGTATCATGTATCACACTCGACAGTCACTCTCTCACAGCAATGAGAGAAAACTATCATCATCTTGTTTACCAACACCTGATACACTGTCACACACTATGGGAGGCCTCTGGCTCTCAAAAACACAATCTCTGGTTACTGCACAAAAGAGAGTTGTACGGACAATGACCTACTTGAAAAAAATGATCACACAAACGAAAAATTCGTTATATTGAAAATGTTAAAATTCGTAGATATTAACACCTACTGCTGTGCCCTCTTTGTTTACAAATATATCAATCACTTGCTTGACAATAATTATTTGCAGTTCCGGAATAATCAGAGATACAACTTAAGGCACCCAGAGCTCCTCTCAGTCCCAGACCTTCATAAAATATCAAGGTGTGAAGGTGTGGAACAACTTACCTCCACCCATCAGAGCAAAGACTACCCTCCCTTCCTTTAAATTATCTCTTAAAAAATATCTATTGTCTAAGTATTAATATTTCTTGCAACACTTACTATATTTACAGTACCTGCTTTTATTGTACCATCAAAACCGTTTTATCGAAAATTATCATGTAAATAGATAAGTAATTACCATGGCAATAAACATAATTGCCAACTAGATAATCCTGACAGCTCTGTCCTCTTGTTCAACCTTATTACTGTACAACCCAGGCTGTACTGCTCCCCCATTATACTTATGTTTTTAATTTCCACTCTAATTTATGTGTATATATGTATATAAATAAAAAATAAACTAAAAAATAAATAAATAAATAAATAAATAAATATTGAAGTGATAACCGTGGTAACATGTTATTACTACCATGCTATTGTACTATTCCAGATGTTACTAAATGTTACATAATACTTCCTTAAGATAAATGTATAGCATATATCAGTATATACCTCTTAGTATATACCTAAAAGAGAGCTCAGGTTCTCAACTGGCTCAGCCATGTTAATATTGTTATTATTATCCACTCTGTATCTGTGTTTTTCTGGCTAAATAAACTGTTCCAATTCAATCCAATTCAAGAATGGTTAGCTGTCGAACGGAGACACACACATTTGGATTATAGTGTAGATACTAAGAAATACTAGTGATTATTGTTGAGAAATACACGGCATTGTGAGTGAGAAATAGATAACATTGTGACTGAGAAATACAAGTGGATTTGACATCCTGTGTACCACCGGCAAGGCCGTGGGCTCGTAACACGTCTTGCCCTCGGTGCCCACCATAGTACATCCTTCTTTCCTCACACAGCCAAACTGTGGAATGCTCTGCCTTCTGTGGTTCCATACTTATACAATCTGTCTCACTTTAAAAAGATGGTTTTCCGGCATCTTCGTGGTGTAGATTAATATAACCTTTTCTATTTTTAATTTATTTTTACTCTTATTTTTTAGCACCCCGTCATGGGTCGATGAGCTGTGCCCGGGTGAGCTATTCCCCGTTAAAAAAAAGTTAATTGTTGAGAAATCCAGAACCTTGTGACTGAGAAATACACTGTTACTGGGAGAGATGAATGACACTCACCTTGGCTGTCTTTATCTTGTTGTGTGTGTAGTGAGGAACTACCAGTGACTCGCTCATCTCCTCTGGCTGACGACGGTTCACCAGGATGGTCCTAGTGGTCGCCTGCTGCTTCTGTCAAGAGATAACGTCAGCTGGTAAAGTGACGTCAGCACGGCAGGATGTACGTGTCAACATGGTGGTTAGTATCGGGAACTGTCAGCATGGTGGTAATGTCAGCATGAGGGAAGTGCCAGGATGGTGGAAGTGTCAGCATGGTGGTAATGTCAAGAAGTGTTATCACGGTAGGAGTGTTGGCAGGGTGTTAGTGAACAACAACAACAATAAAGAGCCATAAAGACATACAAAAATGAAAAAAGATAAGAGTGAGAAACAATATATGTATGTTGTGTTGTCAATAGTAAGAAAAACAATTGAGGCCCTGCAATTGTGTGTAAATGAGGCAGAAAGTCAGATCAGCAAACTGGGACTTGGTCACAATTTTTGCAATGCCATATGGCAGCAGGGTCTACCAGTAGACAACACATTATGCTTCCAATATCTTCCCTGTTTGGTAGCTCCCTGTTTTGCAGGGAACCATAGGGAGAAATTGACTATGCAAGTGTAATCCCACCGGCCTACTCCTCCTCAATAAGTATGCTGAACACAACCACACTATCACCAATACCTTGTTTATGCAGGCCGACAAGTTCAAGGGTGCGTGGCAACACCAACGATCCAAACACTGGCATTTCATTGACTACATCATTGCCAGGGAGAGAGATCGCCGAGATGTCCTCATCACCCGAGCCATGTGTGGCTCAGACCACTGTGAAACTGATCATCGGCTCATTAGAGCCAAACTCTCACTTCAGGTCGCCCCAAAATGGCAAAGGACAACAGGTCTTCTAAAGAGGTTTTCACACTAAGCATCTGGAAGATCCAGCGGTAGCACATGCTCTCAGAGAGCAGCTCGAACATGGGCTGATAAACAACCCGACAACAAGCAACCCAAATCCCAGTGCCGAATGGGATAGTCTCGATTCTCTCACGACAAAAACCAGACCCTCGAACAGATCAAAAGAATACACCAGGACTGCTTTCATAGAAATGACCAGGAAGTCAATGTACTCGTCGATGGTAAACGTGCTGCTTTAACTGACTGGCAGAACAACCCTCAGTCTACTACCAAAGCAGATACCTTCCACAAGAAGAGAGGCAGCCCAGCGCAAACTTTGCCATCTAAAGGGCGACTGGTTGAAAAATACAGCACGTGAAATGCAAAAAACTTTCAGACCAACACAATATGCGCGAATTTTTCAATTCTGCTAAAAAACGGGCCAATCACCCATGGCGCTGCCCCCTACCACTCATCCGACGGTAACTCCAAAATTAAAGACAAGGAAGGTATCCTTCAGCGTATGAAAGAACATTACAATTTTCTGCTCAACCGAAACACGATGTGGATGTTCTGACTACCCAGCAGGTCCCTCAGCATTCAGAGCTGACCCACCTCAGCTATCCTCTATCCCTGGAGGAGGTACCTACTCCCATCAAACAGATGAAAAATACAAAGTCTCAGGGGCTGATGGAATCCCAGCCGAGGTGTATAAAGCAGGAGGACCTCTCCTTACCAGTCGTCTCCACTCTCTCCAGGAGAAAATTTGGGAAAAGGAGGAAATTCCCCCCAAGCCCCTAAAGACGCCTCGATTGCTAATATTTATAAGAACAAAGGAGACCGGTCAGACTCAGGCAACTACTTCGGGATCTCGCTGCTGTCCGTAGCTTGCAAGATTATCGCCCGAGTCCTCCTAAACAGACTTCTTCCTGAGGAGGAAAACTTCCTCCCAGAATCTCAATGTGGCTTTAGACCATCACGTGGCACCACTGACATGATCTTTGCTGCCCGCCTGATACAAAAAAAAAGACCAGAGAACAGCGTCGTGACCTGTACATGGCCTACATCGACCTAATCAATGCCTTCGAATCAGTCAAAAGAGAAGCCCTCTGATGGACCCTCAGCCGTTTTGGCTGATCACCAAAATTCATCATCATTAGGAGTCAACTCCACGATGGCATGAACGGCAGTGTGCTGTACAATGACACCCAGGCTGAGTTCTTCCCCATCCAAACGGGGGTAAAACAAGGGTGTGTACTGGCACCAACTCTCTTTTCAATTTTCTTGGCTGCCTTCCTTACTCGTGCCAGAGCCAATTTAGCCGGCGTGGTGGACATCCAGTACCGGATGAAGGGTCTTTTCAGCAAAAGACGACTCTAGGCAAGAACAAAGGTGTCGGCAGCTTCCATTACTGAACTTACAGTATGCAGATGACCTCACCCTTGTCGCTCATACTGAACGCGACCTACAGGTGATCCTGAACACCTAAACAGAGGAGTATGCACACTTCGGCCTGGAGGTGAATGTACGCAAGACTTGGATTCTCTTTCCGCCAACCCGATTCATCCACACCTCCACCATTCATCCAGCTTAAAGGTACCACCCTCTCTAATGTTACCCACTTTCAGTATCTCGGCTCCCACCTGTCCACCACCGCGGACATCGATGAAGAGATTCAACATCGGATCAGATGTGCATTTCAAGCCTTTGGCAGACTCCATATCCGTGTCATCAGCTGTAGGGAGTTGAAATTATCTACAAAGTTGCACGTATATCGAGCAGTGGTCTTCCCCGCCATACTGTACGGCAGCGAGACATGGGTCACATACAGGAGGCACCTTAAGGCACTTGAAAACTTTCACATACATAGTCTACACTCCATCCTCCAAGTTCGCTGGGAAGACAAGAGAACAAATGCCAGTATTCTCGTTGACACCAACTTTAGGAGCTTTGAGGCTACCATTATCCATGAGTCTACACTCCATCCTCCAAGTTCGCTGGGAAGACAAGAGAACAAATGCCAGTATTCTCGTTGACACCAACTTTAGGAGCTTTGAGGCTACCATTATCCATGAACAACTACACTGGACCGGCCAATCGGCCAGGTTATCCACATGGACGACAGTAGACTGCCAAAACAGCTACTTTACAGTCACCTAACGAATAGTAAACATAAGGCAGGCGGGCAACTGAAAAGGTATAAGGATAGTCTTAAGACAAAACTGAAAAAATGCAAAATCGACCCCCTCACCTGGCAGGCGATCACTCCACACCATAACGCTTAGAGGAGCACCACGCAAGAAGAGGTCACTACTTTCGAGTTAGCCCCTACTGCATACCGAAGCAAATAAGCTCCAACGTCGGAAATTCGCGGTCACCGCCCCTCCCGCACTAGATGTAGCCCACCACACTTGCAACATCTTTGGACGACCCTGCCAGTCACGTGACGGCCTATCTAGTCACTTCAGAGATCACACTCACATCATTGTACTCGATTCCGAGTACAGCAAAGTAGTAGTAGTAGTGGTAGTAGTAGTAGTAGTGTCAGCAAGTGTTAGCATGCTGGTGGTAGTGTCCCGAAGTGTCATCATGGTTGTGGTGTCAGGAAGTGTCAGCATGGTGGTAGTGTCAGCCTGGTTAGTGACAGGAAGTGTCATCATGGGGGTAGTATTAGGAAGTGTCCGCATGGTAGTAGTGTCAGGAAGTGTTCACCATGGTGGTAATGTCAGGAAGTGTCAGCACGGTGGTAGTCAAGAAGTGTCAGCACAGTGATCATGTCGGCATTGTGGTAATGTCAGCACGGTGATCATGTCGGAAAGTGTCAGCATGGTGATCATGTCGGAAAGTGTCAGCACGGTGGTCATGTCGGAAAGTGTCAGCACGGCGGGAGTGTCAGCGTGGCGGGAGTGTCAGCGTGGCGGGAGTGTCAGCGTGGCGGGAGTGTCAGCGTGGCGGGAGTGTCAGCGTGGCGGGAGTGTCAGCGTGGCGGGAGTGTCAGCGTGGCGGGAGTGTCAGCAAGACGGGAGTGTCAGCATGTTGGGAGTGTCAGCAAATGTCAATGTGGGTGTCAGTGTGAACATCCATGATAAGAATGACCTTATCGAAAGAAAACACCAAGAAAATTGACAAAAACAAAAGAAAACACCAAGAAAACTGACAAAAACAAAAGAAAACACCAAGAAAACTGACAAAAACAAAAGAAAACATCAAGAAAACTGACAAAAACAAAAGAAAACACCAAGAAAACTGACAAAAACAAAAGAAAACAGAAACTCGACGATACTCCAGAGAAAACGGACACACAACAATTATCAGGGGATAACTAAACTAAATCGAAGAACCACATAACTCGCCCTATTATTACAAGCTGTGGACAGGAGTTTACAGTGAATGCTTAACTTAAAAGTATATATCTCCTACGTCATTTGTTGAGGTATTTATCACGCCCTACGTCACTGAGTCACCACCAACTGAAAAAAGTGTCTATCCGGGCCACGTACAGTATTTCCGTAGAGCGAGTCACAACATTAACACGGGTGAGTTAATCGCTATCATGAAGTTTAGAAACCCAAAGTTATTTTACCTGTTAATAAGCAATCCTATTACAACCTCATCTAACTAAACAACCAAAGTACTTACCTAACCTAACAACACTACACATACACTACACATACACACTACACATACACACTACACATACACACTACACTACACATACACACTACACATATACACTACACATATACACTACACATACATATACACTACACATATACACTACACATATACACTACACATACACACTGCATATATACACTACACATATACACTACACCTATCACTACACATAGAACTATACATATACACACTACTAATACGCACTACACATACACTACACATAGAACTATACATATACACACTACTCATACACTATACATACACACTACACAGAACTATACATATACACACTACTCATACACAATACATACACACTACACATAGAACTATATAATACACACTGTATGCTGAAGAAGTTTATTACGTAGTGCTATCACAGTATGTATGACGTCACCACACTTTTGACGAAAGAGTTTATCAATAATAACTCAGGTGTTACATTACGTAGTGGGTGATAATTGTTGTGACCAAGCCTGTGTGACTCAGCGGCCAGGTAGTCGAGATCTGTGGGTCCAGTTAGAGGCAGTTTGGGTAGTCGACGTAACCTAACAGCATAACC